AAATTTGTCTTTAAAATATCAATTCCTTTCCTTTAAAAAAAAATTATTGAGTCTACCAAGAAAATACAAAAACATAAGGCTGTAAGTAAATAATAGTTGTGTATAGGCTATTACAGTGCAGGTTATCCTCAAGGCCACATACATCCTGCTTCACTGTTGCTTGCACTCTGCTGGGTTTTGATCCTTCTGTTAAAGGAAAACAACAAGTCAATCTAATTTCTACCTGCTTTAATGCATTTTAAATAGTAATTAACTACCTTATCACAGCATCTCACTTTCGTAAAAGATTTGCCAAATAAAAAAAGGCATAGGACAACTATGGCAAGTTATATTTTCAAATATTAGCAAATTGTTGAAATGCTAAAATAAACTCCAAATTTCACATTGCAGAATTAACTCAATGAGACACACTAAATAATAATCTTAAAAATATAACCAATTTTTCAATCATATTATTTATTTTTTGCCTTTTTTTGTATTTGAAGATTCTAATTCCATTCATATTTACATATTAAGATCCATTTATACCTATCAAGATTTATTTAACTTGATTTTAAATTAGCCTCTTGCTTGCTTATGTTGAAGTGCTCTACGAATACTTTTTAACATCAAGCAAATGAATGAACAGATCCTACATTTTAAATAATCTCTGGTAATTTACTATCTATTATTTGGGATATGACAAATTCAATTCCTAGGAATGAAGGACTTGAACTTTCAGAAACTAAGAACAGTGGTGGTTGCAAGAATCTAACAAATAGTACTGGTCGCCATTTTCCAAGCATTCTTGCACTCAGATCTCTTAAAATTGACCTTTGTTTATAAGATTTTCTTTGGAGGGAAAACATATAAAAACACATTAAATTTTAACACTTAAAAACTGAAAAATAAATAAAAGCCCCAAATAATGTGCCATTAAAATAAAATTTTAGGGTTTACTTGGCAGAAAAGTATAAAAAAAATACAAAGAACCAAAAACAATGCTTCTCAGGGAAAGGTGCTCTGAAGTTTTATGTGAACCATATGAAATGACAGCGGGAATTAGAAAAGGGGAAAAATAAAAGTTACACAGACAATGGGGTTTTATATTATTGACTGTAATGAAGAAAATTAAACTTCATAATCTTACTTTAGCCTGCCACAAATTAAACAGAAAACACCACTAATTCTGCTCACCTTCGAGTCATAGTCTGGATCATTTTCCTCATCTCCTTCTTCTTCCCCTTCCTATATTAAAGTTCAAAATGCATCCATGAAGTAGGTATATAGTAGGAAAAACTGGCTCATAACGTAGGGAAAATTTAATACAAGTTACTCTATGGATCAACAGATTTTCATGATTACAGAGTTTGGTGATAATGCAATTTAATCTGAAAGCTTCTATTATGAAAAATTTCCCAACACAACTTGAGACATCCAGACAGCTTTTATTGAAAAGATTTACTGCAGCCAACGTTGAAAAAGTTTACTGCAGCTTTTGACTTCTTCAAAGAGCTGATAACCCTGCAGCAGAACAAAATTATTTGAAATAAAAAAAAATGTTGCTGAATTTTACAATTTATTTATTGAAACCTTATACATACATTGTTTGGCTGTAGAATTCTAAAATCATACTTTCCAAAATTTATCCCAAATCACATAATGATTATATAGCAAAGAAATACATAAATCACTCAATTTGCTTCTCAATGTCTTAAACACAGAGAATTGTTTGCTCATTTGGTAAACATTACCTCATCCGCTTCTTCACCTTCTTCATCATACTGAAAAGAGAAAACGGGATTAAATGTGGATGAATAAATCACTTGAGAATACCATCAGTAACAGCCATCATTTTCAACACCTTTTATATCTAAAAGGGGGGAGAGCTTTCTCTTACAGTGAATGATTAAGCTAATCATATATTAGCTTTGGGAAATCAGTTCAGTGCTATCAGATAATTATTACTGTAATTACTAGCCTGTATTGAGGTGTGAAATACATTGCAAAAAAAAAAAAGCCTAAAACCTATTAGCAAAAAAAAAAAAAAAAAAAAAAAAAATCCAGAACATTAAAGGGCAGCCTAATTTTATCTGTTAGCATCATGTAATATTTTCTTAGAGAAAAATTCTGTTATCTTAAAACACCAAAGAAGTCCTAGCTGTTCTACATGGAAAAGGCAAGAACAATATTTTTAAAACTCAGGAGAGGCTGAGGCAGGAGGATCTCAAGTTCCAAGCCAGCCTTGAAAACCCTCAGCAACTTAGCAAGACCCTGACTCAAAACATAATAAAAAGGGATATAACTCTGAAATAGAGTGCCCTGGGTTAAATCCCCCAGTACCAAAAAAACAAAACTAGGAAAAGATCTATAGGATAATCAGTTATTAGCCTCATTTTGAATTATTCTATATCCCTTTAAAAAAAAATTAAACCTAATTCCTGCTAATTCTGACTCTCATACCCACACCAAACTATTTCATTGCAGGGCTCAAATTTACTCACATCATCATCATCATCTTCAATAGCTTCTCCAGTGAAGTATAACACTGATCTCGGGATTATGCGCTCACGTAAAAAGTGACCAATTTCAAAGTCTGCAGCAAGAATAGCTTCAGCATCATCATCCTGTTTTTTTTTTTTTTTTTTTTTTAAGAAAAGCACAAAATTTAAGAATAAGCTGTAACTTAGTTCGGCATATGTAAGATTCAAGAATTTAAATAATAACAAAATCAGTGGTAGAGCAATTGCCCAGTATGTGTAAAGTCCTGGGTTTAATCCTGAGCACCACAATTTTTTTTTTAAAGGCCAACTTTATTTTCTACTTTTTAAAAAATACTTTAAAATTAAATAATTTAAATTAGCTCATAAGTAGTCATCTACATGTGCTAGGTTTATAGAATTTTAATAAAAACTAAAATAAGTTAGCAGACTAGTGTTCATGCTAAGAATAGTTATGGCAAATAGAATTTAAAACTGGTTATCAGTTCTTTTCTGGTTCAAACATAAAATGTAAAAGCAACTCTTGAGTTTTTCCTTTGGAAATATTACTGAAAAACTAAGAAAAAAAAATCTCATGCTTTCGTAAGTAACAACATTAAGTATATGATAAATAAAAGGATATAAGAGACCACAGAATATCACTTAACACTTCCTAAGGGACAGTACCCAAGCAGCTSTAAGATTTTAAGTCATTATTGCAAATGAGGAGTTACAGAGTCCTACTTAATAAAGACAATAAACCAAGTCAAGTCAATCTAGGATTTCTATGTAATAGCAAAACACAGTACAGAAATGACTGACATGATTGAGAAAATTTCTTAGATCTCATTTACGTTTAGATACTTACCAATGAATTAAAAAAAAAATTTATTAAGCCATCAAGATAACACACCCTGATAAACAAAAATGTACTGGGAAGGGGCAGACATGGAGGACTATGAAGAAATCCTAAATGGAGATTTCTTATAAGACTGATTTTGCCATCAATATTTAGAAATATACTAAAACTGCACTTGAAGACAAACTTCAAGCCATCAACCGATATAAAAATAGAATAGTGTGAAGCTCTTTTAATGCTCCTAARTAGTTCTTACTAAAATGCACACACTGATTTACATTCCCATCGTTTGTCCTATAAAGGRTGTTTTTAGTAGGCCAGTTAATATTCTTTTCAGACAGAAATACTTTTTGCCATTTGCAATATGGCTTATGCCTCAGTCAAGAGTGTTCCAGTTCTAAAGTATTCAAATTAACATAATATTTACTTTCCCACACACATAAAACTATTTAAAACTATCTCAATTAATTTAAATTCAAACACATGGTCAACAGAAAAGCAAATTCAAAACATTAACTGGCCTACACTGCCTGTAAGGACTTATTCACGGTTTTCATTAGATCATTTTGTATACATTTTTGGTTCTTAGCCACAGGCCACAATATAGTCACCATATGAAATCATATATCCATTGGCATAACAAACAAAAATTAAATCCCTAATAGAAAAAAAACTGTCTAAAACAAATGCTAGCTGTGACCACACTGTCCACTTTTGAAGACCAATGCTTTACTTTTATATGTATATGTAATAAACAGCTCAATAAAAATTCAACTTACCAGATCTCCACTGTCAGGAACTGAAAATTTGAGAAAAAGAAATGCAAATGAGTAAGAAACTAAACAAATTTCATAATAAAATAGTCGCCAATATCAAAACTGAACCTCTACTTACCTTCAGGAGGGGCAAAAAAATTAAAGAAAGAATCATTGGAAACTGTTTTAGTCACGGTACGAACTGTCCCTCGTCCCTTGTGTTTCTGCTTCTTCTTAATAGTTTTCAAAGTGACATTCTTTCCTTTTTTCCAATCTATCTGGCACCCTGTACAACCCATAATTTCGGGTCCATCAAAAGAAAAGGGATCAGAATCGTCTGGTTCTGACCTCATCCTGTATGTCTTTGTCAACACTTCATTTGTGAAATATTCATTGGGTTCAAAGTGAAATTCTAAGATAAAACTCTTAAAAAAAAAAAAAAAAAAGCATAAAAATTAATTTAACTCTTACACTGTGAATTTCAGTGCATAAGTAAATAGCTTAATCTATGGTTTAGTGTATTTTTTGGATGGGTGGGGGTACTCGAGATAGAACTCAGGGGCACTCAACCTCTGAGCCACATCCCCCACCCTATTTTGTATTTTCATTTAGAGACAGGGTCTCACTGAGTTGCTTAGCACCTTGCTTTTGCTGAGGCTGGCTTTGAATTCCCAATACTCCTGCCTACTCCTGAACCACTGGGATTACAGGCATGCGCCACAGCACCCAGCTTAATCTATGGTTTTTAATAAGCATATACAAAATTTTAAATGTTTTCCTAATTTTGAAACATAATATGTTAAAAGCAAAACAAGGCACAAATAAAATGAATATAGTTTCAATTTACAACTATCACACTTAAGTAAACGGTCTGACCAAGTCCCCCTTTTTTCTAAACCTCTCCCAAAACAGGCTTTTAAATGAGACTAGAATTTGACACTAGCAAAAGCTCAACCTTAACAATCTATAGCCTATAGTTATAATATTGCCAATTTTTAGGAGAGATTGTTAGCTAATCTTTTCTCGAGGAGGAGTAGGGACCGTCTAATATCATACATTTTATGAAATTCCTATGCACATGATTTTTAATGACTAAGAATTTACTTATTAATATTACCTTGCCATTATTTTTCTTAATCCACTTTAATCCAGGATCATTAACTGTATTTTAAAAACAAGTGGAAATTCATAGGATGGGAAAGGAAAACAGCATAAACAATGGCAATATCCAAATATTTACTACAATTAAGAGTAACAAGTTATCAGTTCCGTCTCGCTTCCATCTAACTCTTGAACGGCACCTAATTTTAAAAACTTTCTTTTATCTACCTGTTAGCATGTTACAAAATTGAAAATATTTCAAAGTTCTTTTACCATAGGCTGGCCAGCATCTGAGAACTTCACTTTAATATCTTTCAAGTGCTTCAGAATAGGTTCGTCATGTTCCTAAAAATTAAAATAATAATAAAAATGAGTATCTAACATGGCATTTCTGGATCCATGTTCTGTTACTACATGAACCCTAGCTAGGATGTAATATCTTTCACAGCAAAGTTTTATATGACAATTATAAACCTTAGGACTCTCCAGATTATGGCCTATACTGAAGCCACTTTATACTATAGTTCTATTTCCACTGGTATAGAAAAAGTGACTAAACAGAGACAAATCATCATACAAGCTGAATAGTCTAAAAAATACAATACCAAATCTAAATAGGGCATCTCTGCTTTGAAAATGTTTCTTGATTATAACTGCTGCCTTTTCCTTTTCTTTTTGTTAAAGTATAAATGCAGTAAGCAATCATGAGACCATTTTTTTCTTCACATGACTTCCAACAACCAAAAGACATGGCAACAAGTACTATAATACAGATGGTAGGGGTTCAAAGAAATGCTTGAGAAGCAATATTTCCCAAAAAAGTAGTATCTGTATTGGTTTTCCAGAGAATAAGACAATTATGAATGAGTTAAACACACCCTTATAGTATTCCTTTAAAATGCAAATTTCACTTGAAATTGTTCTGATTTCAGACTGAAAGGTCTTGACAGCAATACAATTGCAATTAAGATTCCCTCCCATTTGCTATCTCAAAATTAAGCAAAATAAAGAAGGTATGAGAAAGTGTCCGGTCAATACTGATCAAATATTAATGAGATCTCTTTCATTATTGAATATTTGAAAGATTACACTCATCAAAACTGTAATTTTCCTTCTATGGATGACTGCTACTTCAATCACCAGAACCATATAAAATTCAAAGGTTTACCCGGGCAGGTAAACTGGTATTTTTATGACTAAAATTACCTGAACCATGTCACTGAGCAAGTCAACATTCTTAAAAACAGTCAACCAAAATTCAGGAATTCCTTTAGGGTCTTCTTTTTCTTCATCTTTTTTC